AGGATGTTGTAGCTTTCCCTTGCTTGAATGTTTTGAAAATTCTGCATAAACCTGCAGCTGGTCTGATCAAATGCCGATGATTCATGGAATAATTTAGTTTGGAGAGGACCTCCAGGGATCATCTAATCCAAACTCTTTCTCAAAACAGGTCCAACAAGACCAGGCTGCTGAGGGTCTTAGTAAGTTTTGATTGTGTCTAGTGATGGAGACCCCAACCTCTCTCAGCACTGTGTGCCAGTATTTCACCATCCTGAGAGTGAATTTTTTCCTGTATATACAAACAGAATTTCCCATGCTCCAACTTGTCTGTTGACTCTTGTACTATCACGGCACATTTCTGAGAGAAGTCTGACTCTAACTTCTCTATACCTTCCCTTTATACCTTAGGGAGTTGTCAACAGCAATAAAGTGTCCCCTTAGTGTTGTTTTCTTAAGGCTGAACAAACCCAGTTCTCTTAGCTGTTCTCCTCTCACATCTTGCAGCAGCCCCCTAACTATCTTGGTGGCCTTCCACTGAATGTACTCCAGGATGTCAGTGTCAGTCCTGTACTGGGGAGCCCCAAATGGGGCACAGTACTCTAAATGCAGTCTCATAAGCGCAGAATAGAGAGTAAGAATCTCCTCCCTCTGTCTGATAGCTGCACATTTGATAATACAGCCCAGAATATGGTTGGCCATGAGGGCACATTGCTGACTTGTGCACGGCTTGCATTGGAGTGTGGCAGTCCCAACTTTCTGAGAGAAGTAGCTTGAATAAGCTCTTTCTAAAACTTGGCAATCTCTGTCCTAGGCTGTAGGGAGGTGTTCTCTAAGACTAAATTTCAGAGGCATGCTTACTGCTACACCTTCTTGAGGTGACACTGTCAGGCTTTCAGGGATGAATGCTATACCCTGAGCTTTTAGGTAGCACAATTATTGTTCTATATATCTGTCGTGTTTGGGTGTTTTAAGCAAGTGCCAGTACTTTGGAATTCCTTGCACTTGGGAATGCCAGAGAACCTGAAAGCTGTGGAAGAAATTACTTCCTCCTGGAACAAGCCTGTCCAATACTGCATTTCTCATATCTGATGTGGAAAAACTGTCTCAGTGTGAATAGGATGAAGTTCATTGAGGCTTTTATAAATCGGCTGATTAAACATTATACTTCTCTGTAAAGAAACAGCATCTCGTGACTTGACATCCACGTATGCAGTAAGTTTCTCTTATTTTGTTAAGCTGTTTCCATACCACAAAGTTAACAGCAGAAAAAGGCGTATTAGGTGATTTAGTTCATCTTCTGCCAGATGAGCAATGTTCACTGCTGTGCTATTGTTCTGAGCTTCATCCAGGTTAGTTTTGAATGAATAGCAGACCCTATTTAGGAGGTTACAGTCTGGATACTTTAAAGCTACTTGAGTCTTTATCCTCCACTGATTTTTACTAGGAATTAGATGTCTGTATTTCTATAAAAATCTGGCATGAAGAAAATTACTCTTAGTATACTAACTTTGTATTCTGATACATTGCATTTTATTTAACCTAGCCCATCTAGTCAAGGAGAAATGCAAAATGGAAAAAAGCCAAAGCTATCATGATTTTAATTATTTGAACCAGGAGACGTTTTGGTGTACCAGTCCTTGACTTGAAAAACTTTAGCTGTGCTACAACTGTGTGAGATACCCCTTATTTCCTTACGTAAGTATCCACAAATGAACTGTCTGTAGCACAGAAGGGAAAATAATCTTCAGAAAGTTACAGTTTGGCTGCCTGTATGGTGAGATGGGTATGGGCATAACCTTACAGTCTTTCACCAGCACAAGATCTAGCATAACTGGGTTGTATGCCAGTCACTGCCGCTCATGGGACAGACTGTCTGTGTTTCCCTTTTGTTACCTCATGTCAAATTATCACAGAGGACACCACCCCACCATCCCCCCGCCTTTGCTCTTCTGTGTGTCTTTGGTTTTGGGAATCAGAGTATGACAGGATTCCCCTTTGGCAGGGACATTCTGTCAGATCAAAAGGGTGCAGCTGGGAAGATAAAGGTCAAAGGAAATGATCAAATATGTAAATTTAGTTAGGGCAATTTGAGTGCTAGCTGATTGTGAGGGAGAGAAGGTCATCGGTATTGCTTGACTCTTGCCTTAGTTGGGGTCGTATCAGTTCGATTCAAAAGCATTTGCAGGACAGGGAATTAAACTGTGTGGAGCAGGAACAGAAATAGAAAGAATATTTTAAAAGCAGAGAGAGCAGCAAAGGTCAGCTTGACTCTGCACCTAAATTTGGCAGCTGGGTGCAGAACTCGGTCTGTCAGACATCTGAAGAACTCATTTGTTTGCGGAGTTACCTGAGCTTTTGATTGACAGTGTTACCTGATGCGTTCCTTTGCTGTTCTGTGTTCACTTTCAATGCACAGCATGCTATTTTTACACTTTTCAGTGCAGATGCAATGTTCTGTGGTTTTATAATAGAGCTAATGGAAGCTTTAAATAAATTAGAAAAAAGAGAAGAGAAAAACCTGCTTAACAGGACACAAAAGGCATTATATGATATTTCTAACTTGTCTCCAGTTGAGAATTCACTATGAAAATTTCCAAAGTCTGAAATGTATCTGGTGGATCATAGATAGTAAAGATTTTTATCAATGTTTATGCGTTTCTTTTAAAGGTCAAGAAATGTCATAAGAAAAGATTGAAAGCACTTCATGTAAATCATTCCTGGAACATATCCAAGTGGCTTTTATCTCCTGGCTTCCCTTTTTTTTTTTTTTTTTCTTTTTTTTTAAGAGCTATAGGCAGCAAAGCCACTTTTTCCTCCACTTAAGAACAACAGGAATGTGGGGAGAGGGAGAAACCACAGGAATGAAAAAGGACTTGGTGACACACATCAGTTGAATTTTAGGTGGAATGCATGTGCCTTCAGGCTAAAGGGATTCTGTTCTAGACACAGAAGAGATAGAGACTACAAGATAACACCGACTAGTTGACTAGCTTGAGGATGTTATCAGGGATGACCAAAACATGTTTTGGTGCCTCTGAGATTCATTGTAATATTAGGTAATTGAAAACAAAAAGCCTGGTGGTGTTTGAAACGTTCACACTTGGAATAAAATCTGTGAGGCTGACACAATCATATGTGAGTTAGGAGGGGAAAAACAGAGATCAGCAACAGATTAGTGTATCAAATTAAGTTAGTGGATCCACTATCACCCCCTTTTCTTCTCTCTGACCCAAAGTTAATAGAAAATACTGTTTGTGTTTGGGCTTTTTCTTACAAACTGGTATTCATTTATTTACTTTTAATATCAGTGCCTTCTAAGTAGTAAAATTTGACAGGTGACAAGGAAACTTCCATGTGAGGAAACTCATTGTGCAGAGTGCCTCCATCAGTGACTTGATGCTATCAGGATGGCCAGCCCCTGTCTGCACCAGTTAACATGCTGGCCCACGGTCATAGATCTGATCACATCCCCCTAGTCTGGACAAGGGCCAGACTGCTCTCTCAGGTTCTAATCCTCTTGAGCATCTAAGCTCTCTGCTTCTCTGGCTCTGTATGCTGTAGCATGCCTGTCCCTACCCTCTACCACAGCCTCTTTTGCTGGGTGCTATGGTTGCCTTTTCCTCCTTTGGCCATGAATTCTGAGCAATTTAAACTTGCACTTTCCCTTGACACCAGCTGCGGAGGCTACATAGGTGACAATTTAGGGCATGTGCTAATCATGAGTAAACAGAAGCAGATTTTCCTTAAGGTTTGCAGTATCTTTGCTAGTACCAGAAGTACGTGTACAGGTTTAGGCAAAATTAATAAATCCCATGTACTTTTTTTTTTGTTGTTGGAATGATTTCTTACTGGTATTTAACTATGTTCATGCATTTATTTATTTTCTTGATTCTCCCAGGCATGTTGCCTGTCTTAGGCTGCCTGTTTCTGGAGTGTCTGGTCAGCATCCAGCCAGCAGAGGTAACACCTAGTTGGGCAGTTCTGCCATGATACCAGTGTCCTTTCAGGAGCGCTGTGAATGAAAATGATTTAAAAGGTCATCATCTTTGAAACTAAATTGAGAATAAATTCTATAGGTTTTCAACTTCTCTTTTGACAGCAGAAAGTCTGAATCAAAAGATATAGATATTTGGGGTCTGGTAGTCTAATTACCTTAGAGCCTTGATTTTGAGAATTCAGAGCTTTTATTCTGAAGAAAAAATGATCATGTACCCTGCAGCCAAACCAGAGCATTCAGCAACACCCAGGGAATCTCAAGTGTAGAAAGTGAACTACAAATTGGCTTCTAGACTATGGTTTTGTTTGCTGGACCTAGGACACCAGAGAGGAAGGCAAGGAGGGAAGGATATGAGCTTATGGAAACTGGTCGTTAAGGTTATTGGATTTTGTAATGCATGAGGGAATATCTATGCTTAGTTACAAAATCAGACCTTAGAAAAGCATGGGCCCCAGAATACTCCTCTCATCTTGAAAGCATACGCACAGGTAACAAACCAGTTCTTCACATAGTTATCTGGAATTTTCCATAAAAGAGAGAGCGGAAGAGGAGCAGATGAGGTTTCCTCCTCCACCCCTATCCCCACACCAATACTTCTGACTGCCTGTGCTGGGACTTCTGCTGATAAAGAGTAACTTAAAGTTTGTAAGAGGTCTTCAGTGCCCACCCACCTTTGGAGAGCTGGTGTGCAGTTGCAACTTCATTTAATAAATAAAAACAAAGCTTCACTAACTGGTATGTGATAACCCAGTATTCATAGAAAGTGATATAACTCTCATATTTACAAATATGCAACTGTTTTCTGCTCTCTAGTTTGAAAAATGATTTTCAAGAGATTGCTTCTATTTATAAGCCCCAGAAGAATACTGTAGCAGTCAGCCGCTTGCTTCCCTTACCATTTGCAGTGATATGGTATACAAATTACAACTTTGTAATTGTGATTCCTGCTTTGAGTAGTCTGAAAAATTGTAGCCTAATTAAATAATTGTGGTGGTTGTTTATTTTTTTAAACACATATTTGCAGCTGAGAGTTACAAGGAAACCCAGATGGTAAAGATAAAGGAAGAACCAATGGAAGTCGACATTCATGATTCGCAGGCTTCAGTGTCACCCAGCCAACCCAGCCAAAATGTTGGCTACAGCACTTTATTAGGGCGAGACATTAGCGAACACATACAGAAGGCACCAGAAGGTCGTGTGCTCCCAGAAAGAAATCTATTCAGCCAAGATATATCAGTGAAGATGGCATCTGAGCTGCTCTTCCAGTTATCAGGTAAAAGCAGTGGAAATAGTCAGTAGTTGAATTTAAACAACAAAAAGAGAGATTGTGTATAACCATTAAGGTGCTATGAAAGTGTGATTGCTAAGGCTGAAAAATAATGGGAGTTAGAGCCCGTCTACCCTCGTGTTTGGAACACAAAAGTCTTGCCAAATGTCCCCCATAGTTAGCATAGGCTTTGGAGCACTGTGACAGTCAGGTCAGGTTCACAATATTTGAACTGAATTAGAAAAGCCGGAGTTCAACTCCTGTATTTTTGAAAGATAATTAAATAATTTGTGACAACTGGTTGATCCAGGCCTTGTTGTATAGGGGAACCTATAGATGGCAGTTACTGGTGTAAGTAGCCAGTGGCTGCAGCACGCAGTGCTCCTGGGGCTGCACTGTCCATTTCTCTTGACAAAGAAGGTGAACCTCAACTATTACATAAAGGCAGTGATATCAGCACTATGTTTAATGAATGCTTGTATTGCACACTTTGCATGGAGCACCAACACTGAAATATGAAGCTGAAAAAATTTGTTAGGTGTTAGTTTAAATAAGGTCATGCCCATTCTCTAATCATCCTGTAACCATTTACCCTAAGTTACTCTGGATTATGCTGTTATCAGAAAGCATTAAAATAGTTCTGCTGAATAAAACTTGATAGGGAAAATATGATATATGCTAATCACAAAAACACTTGTATGTTCCTCTGCAGAAAAGGTGAGCAAAGAGCACAACCACAATAAAGATAACACCATGAGAACTACAGCGAGGTAAGTACAGTCCATTGTTATCTGCAAAGCTGTAGTGTAAATGGCATTGCTTCATTTTGCCTTGTGAACTCAAATGTGTCTGTCTCCCACAAATGTGACCTGATATTACAAGTGTAAGATATTTTCATGGGTAATGTAACCTATATCTGAAAAATTACACCTGTAGATCTGATTGCTTAGAGTTCATGAGACAAAAGGCCTTTGGGCCAAAATGACTGTTCTCCTCTGATCAAGTATTCACACATCATTTTAAGAATTATTTTTTCTATTTTTTTCTACAAAAACTGAAACTTAAAAGAAACTGCATAGTACATGCAGCGCTTGAGGAAAGAACAGGCTGACAACTGGATTTTAAGACATGGACCAATGAAAGAAGAGGTGATTTTTGATTCAGTCTTCTGTCAAACTTTGATTTCTTTAATAAAATTTCAATTTAGTATTTCTATTATCTCAATGCCTTCTAGAGATGAATTTTTAGAGGTCAGACTGTATGACAATGCTAATGAAACATTTGTTAAAGATTACAGTCACATTAATAAAATAGATGAAATTTTCCAGGAATTAAAACCATGATCCAATTATAGCACGTGCTGTTAAAGAAATACACGCTTTACAGTATTGTGGCTGGGAACAAGCCCACGAGTTGTTTACATATACGTGAGCAGCAAAGTGAGGTGTCCCTATGGGAAAATTCAAAGCTCTTATGTAATAAGTGGGAGCTAGAATTGGTAAAAAAGTTAGAAGCCCATGGTGAGGAGTAGGCAGAAATTGGCAAGAGTACATTTATTTCCTGCCTGAAAGTTCCTTAATCAGTGTGGCTGGGTTGGAGACTGAGCACACTGAAGTGATAAAGTGTTCCTTCAAAGACAGAGTAAGACCTTCTGTGCCTCTGCAGTCCCTTCTACAGAAGTGCCCAACGTGTTCGGTGCCTGTTAACTAAGACAACTTTGTCCAGACAGAAATTGAAAAGCATTTCAGTTGCAGAAGAAAAGATCTCTAAAATATGTTGTTCTTAAATTCCTAGGCCTATCCCATTCATTCGTAGTAACTGTAATAAATAAATAAATAAATTGTTTTTAATAAACTGACCGGCTAAGTAAATGTTCATTAGGGACTTTTTGATGTTACAAGTTGAAAGACAATTAAATTGAGCTTTGAACTTCTCGCTACTGTGAATGCTTCCCATATTTGCTAGTTTGGGAATCTGTGGGATCTGCAGCCTACATAGCCTGCCCATGACTACTTAAAAAGCATAAGCCTAAGAAATACATATGGAGATAAATGCACATATTGTCCTAACTACTCATCCAGTGTGCATTGCAGGGAGGGGGTGACAAATAGTTGAAAATAGATTTTCATGTCTCATGATGTTACCAGCAGGACTGGTTGTGAGAATCCAGGGCTACTTTTGGATCTATCAAAGATAATTCAAACTGGAAAGGTTGAGGACAGTTCAAAGGTAACTTCCCCTTCTTCTGACTGCCACCTTTTAAGAGGGTAGCACAGTTGGCTTGCACTGAGTTGTCCAACTTGCACTGAGCTTTACTGAGAAGTCCTGATAATGGCTGCTACCCATCAGGGCATGAAATGCTGAGTGCCTGATTCAATTCTTCCGGGTGCTTTTCTTATCTTACCTATCTATCAACAGAAGAAGACATGAATGAGAAGAGCTTCTTAAGGGGAAGTGAGTCAGTCTACTAAGTCCTGCGAGTTCAAACAGATTGACTTGAAAGACCTTGCCAAATGAACCCCACCCAAAACCAAACAAACAGCTGGAAGTCTTTGCTGGTAAGGGTGTGATGCCTTCTCAAAAATAAAATGTGATGGAGCAGCCAGTGGAGGATAGAGGCACTCAGACTGCATTAAGAAAACGTGTGATGTTGCAGTTTGGCTCACCAACCTACATCTGGAGTAATGACAGAAAGGCATTTGAATCACAATTGTTATGTGAAATTTGCTGACAGCTGCAGAGAACCAAGGTGAAGTCAGTGTTGTCCACCTGTGAGTAGCTGGGGAGCAGAGATTGAGCTGTGTCATTGGTGAGAGTCTTAAATCAGCAAAGCCCAGCAAAATGGGGTATGCAAGCACTTTTTGCTGTCTTATTCCATATTAACATTTCTAACTGTTGCCTCTCTGTTGCTATTCCTCCTGTGAGTATTCCTGGACTTTGCAAGCATATACTTCCATATGACTTTGCTTAAGCAGCCGAAACTGGCAAGGATTCCTCACAGTTCAATGGCTGAGTGAGATGGTAGAGCCTGCCATCTGTGATATGAAGACAGAAAGTGGAGAAGCAAACGATCTGAAGTGAGTACGCCAGTGTAAGATGCCAAGATAAGTTTCTTTCATCTAGAGATCTGTGTAGCCATAAAACTGGAAAAAAAAAATCCTAAAGCTTAATCTTCATCAGAAGGGACTTTGCACCGTGATTGAGAACAATTTATGTAGTTTCTTACTATGAAGCAGGAGCTCCTCCCTCCATACTTTGCACTGGGAATTGGAAGACATATCTGCTGAAATAAAAATAATAATAGGGCCAACACTGAAGACACTCAGCTGCCCTTCTAGAGGAAGTTAGAAAAGAGGTATCCAAGGATGGTTCTGTAATTCACCGGAGGCCAATGATGGAGAGGGAAATCCTTGGGACACAACATGATGCAGTCTTCAACAGCAACCTGCTCATGATATATGGCCTAGCCTGAATCAGCTAAGCTCTGCATCATCCATTTTGCTTAGAGCCAGCAATGAGCAGTGTCCCGGTGACTGAATCTAAGGCACCAGCATGCAGGCCAACATGGAAACCTGAGTGGATTACAAGATTTTGAAGAGTTACAACAGTAATAAAACGTTTTTTATTGGTGTTTTGCTTTCAAATCATTATTAAACCAGTGAGAGGAATGTTGCAATAAATGATGCCATATTTTTATACAGCGTCAGTCTGTTTTATATTATGTCACCCCTGAGTAGGAGTGTGAGTCTTGGAAAAAGTTAAATGTTGCACATGTGGGCTGGAGCTGGTTTACTTTATCCTGATCACTTGTTTTCTTGAGTATTATGCGTTCAGCTGTCTGCGCACACTGAACTATTCAGGTTTGGGGCAGTCACGCCTTACCCTTCAGCACAACCTAATGTTGACTGTGTTTATGGTTATGTTCAAACTTTTGTAGAAATACCAAAATATCCCATTAACTGTCAGTGTATGGAACAGCACAAAGTGAATAATGGCCAAAAAACCTACTAAGAAAGTAAATAATGTGATTGTCAGAAGTGTTACATGATCAAGTTAACTAACTATCAACAAATTTCCCAAAGGCAGAAGAGATCTGACTAAGGATACAAGTGACTCAGTGGAGAACACCTTGTTCCCTCTGCAGAAAAACTGTATGAAGGAAAACTTATGCAAGTGCTGTTGTTTAGATTGACACCTTGGGTATCTGGACTGGTAGGGTCAACTTGGTACTGCTGGCACATACTTTATGGGTCTGGACTACCCACTGTGCAGTGTTTTTTAAGACCTTATACTACGTTCCTTATCCTGAAAAGGTTCTTGGATTTTATTACTGAATAAGAACAGGCTGCAGAAATGAGCTGGCCTCCTGTCCTGCACCTTTAAAACACGTACTATATGCCAGCCTGTTAAGGATTCTCAATATGAGAGAGATCAGATTTAGTATAATTCTCATTTTGTTCAGAAGAAATTGATAGTTTGCATGCAAATGGAATACGCTGCCTTAGAAAATAGTTTTCCAAGAAAGACTGTCCTTTTCTATTTTGATTTTTCTGATGTACCTCTTACTGATGTCTGTCTGTACGGTAGACAAGGAGTTCTTGTTTCTGTTACGATCTTTAATTGAGCAGAAAACAAAATACTTTGACAGAAATGCCAGTTGACTATTGAAATTGACTTTTTACTGCCTGTTAATTAAAACCAAAGCATGCTATGCTTTTTGGAGTCAAGTAGCTGATAATTTTTGCAGTTAATACTCTTTGGGAAGTAACCATTCAGTTAGCTTAGATAAATTATTTCCTGCTTTAAAAATCAAACTCATGGAGTTATTTCATTTATGGAATGTCATGTCAAAAGAGAACTACTCAGCATCTTAACCTAAAATTTGAAAAGTTTTGTTTTAAAAATAATTACTATATACCTCAGATTATTAAACAATAAAATTTTCCACCTTTCCCGATTGCCGTCTCCAGATATGACATTAGAATACAAATTTTTAGACAGTAGAATAGAAATTTTTGAAGCATTCATTTTAATGATGCATATTGTATTGTGATATAGCAAATCTGTGATGTTGAAATGTAGTTAAAAACCTTTTGGAAGCACTTCAGTTTTCACTCTGAGATGCAATTTTACCAAAGCATGCTTCTTCTCCACACCTTGCCTCATGGTCTGCGTATCTTTCAGCGTGACTTCTGTAAATGAAACAGGGCTTTTAACAAGATGGTATCTGTTACAATATTAAGATGCTAGGGTCAAAAATAATACTTACTTCTTTTGTTAAATGCTATTTTGTTTACAAAAAGACATCTTATTTTTTCGTATAGCCCTTTCTTTTCTGAAGACACATTTAGACAATCACCGTTCACTTCCAACTCAAAAGATATCCTGCCTACTGAAACTGCTCTTCATGGAAGGATGTCTGCACCAGGTCAGATACCTTTTTCTTTCATTACTTCCAGTTAATAGATCTTTTTCAATTCCTGCCACTTTAAACTCTACCACCTGACCAGTGCTCTTAAAATGTAGTTTGCTTTGTCAAAAGGCAACTCTCTCCATCACAATAAGTGCTTATTATTAAGGAGAAAAAGAAAAAAGTGAAAGTGCTGAAGCATTTATATTAATTTATATTATTAGTCTTTAAACTACTATTTCCATGAATTGTACAAGAGTCTATAACAGATTAAACTCAATGGTATTAATAGACGTGGGGTTTTTGTGTACGCGTGTCTCCTATATGTAAAGAAACTTTACTGATGTTGGATTACTGTCTGCTAGTCTCCTGTTATTGGCCATTTCCATCTCTCAGAGTGCAGATGAAATGTTTGCAATACATGTATTAGAGCGGCTGAGCTTGGCAATACAATTTTCCTGCCTTTAACAATAATTTAGAAACCTTTTTGAAAGGACATAGAGTTCTTAAAATGTACTGAAAAACCTCAGTATCTCTGGGTACATTCCCACTGATCTTCTGAACTGGTTGACAGACATTTTATGTCCAGGTACAGCTTGGGTTATATTCTGCATTAAAATGGAAAATCTAGGCATGTAACAATGCTATTCAAGGTGGCACTGAACACATGCAAAAACTCAGTACATGCCTTTACTGTCCTGTTGCAAAATAACTCGTTTGCTAGTTCACTGGTATCTGTTCTTAAATTAATAGCTCTGGGATTCTAAAGGTCACTAATTATGCAGCCAGCCATAGGGGGGGTTATTCACCTTTTCTTAGCAATCAATAAAGTTTTGGGCACGTTACTGCTAATTTTCAGCTATAGACTGTCATTTAATTTACAACTTAACAGACCTTTCATTTTTTTAATGCTTGAATAGTCATTTGACAGCTTGTGAAGTGGCAGATGAGGTTAAGAGCTAGATGTTGTCTAAGGGTAAATATGCATAGCAGAAAGAAGAAGAAATTTTGTAGCATAAGGACAGGGGTCTTCAGGCTAGCCTCAGCCACCCTTATGCAAGGTAGTAGTGGATTTTGTAACTCGGGGCGAGGAGAACCAGATCAGGTCTGGTGCTTTTAAGTATTAAAATGTAAACCAGGTTAGCACTTCAATCCTGGCTTTTGACCTTGGCATAACATGGAATATTCATATACCCAGATGAAAGATGAGAACTCTTAGTCTCCTCAGGCGGTGCTCAATACCTCAGAGGACATGGCCTCTAGCAGCAATACTCTTACATCATACCAAGGTGAATGTGTAAGAGTTTTAATTCTCTGTAAGACTTCATTTTAAGTGAGGCCACTAAAACTGCGGATGAGTTTTGGTGACATGCTTCATCTTCTGCTTAAAAGATGTAAAGTATCTAGTTCTCAGGACGTCCTGGAGTGTTAGAATGGCTTCTGAGGTACTGGGGTTTGTATGTTTATGCTGCCTCACATTCTGCATTATGGAATACAAGTATTACCTTGATAGGTCTGTGTATTATGATACATATTGCTCTGTGATTATAAGACTGATATGTAATAGCAGGATATATACTGAAAATCAAAAAAGCTAGTTTCTGCTTCATTTTTATTTTTGGAACAACCCTATCATTCCAATATGTTGATTTTTCTCAGCTTCATACTAAATTCTTGGACCTGAAGTGCAACTTCACAGTAGCACCAGGAATGTGATTTAAATTTTTAATCAATTACAAATGTGATATTCATGTAAAAGAACAGCAGAATACCCACAGGTAGATTTCCTACTAGTTTTGGCCTTGCAGGAAGAAATAGTCTGTGTAGCGCTATGGATAGCTCAGAAGCAATTTTATCCCTGCAGAGAGTAGCATAAAGGAACAGTAACAAACCATTGTAAAGGCCAACAGGATGTAACAGAAAATGCTGTGGAAATATGTTGGTGGTGTCCCATGGATAAATGGTATGTATGCCTTCACTTGAGATACATTTTGGATATTATCTCTGAAACAAGATAGTAAGAAGTAGAGAAGAACAGCATAAAAAATGACAGGAAATTTCCAGTCCAGTGTCATCTTCAAGTCGTCAACTAAAATCCAAGCAGATTAACTGCTAACGGCCCAGAGTGTTCATTAAGCAGTGCTGACATCCAAAAGTGTGACTCTGTGCCACTGTCAGCGCAGCTAGCAGAGTCTGATGAACAAGCGTGGGGTCTGAGCTGCTGCTCTATGCTGGTTCTCTGTGACCAGGCTTGACTCAGGCAGGTGGAGCAGCATGAGGAAGCCTTCGCTGCCAGTTGGTCTGGGTGGCCTTGGCAGAACCCCATGTATGTTGTGCTTCTTTCCAAGAGAGCACCAATATGGGTGGTTGTATCCCCAGACTCCTGCCAACTTTCTGTCTGCAGACTTCTTGGCACCCTAGCTGCAGAAGAATTGGGAAAAGTGACAGGAACATAGGACAGTAAGATATCTCATGTGTCAAATTCAATTCTTTTCTATAATAGGTAACAACATTATGTAATCTCATTCATTGTCAAGATCCATCTTAAACCTGTCGTCCTTATTTTCTGTATGAGGACACTGTTTCAGAAGCTCACCGCTTTGAAGTGCTGGGGTTCAGCCTGAATTTATTCACAGCAAGTTCTACTTTTTTTGTTTCACCAATGCTGTCCTTCAACTTTGATAATTCTTCTCCCTCATGATGTTCACCATCTGATGTGCCATCTTACAATCCCCCTAATCCTGTCTTCATTTTGGAAAAGTAAGCCAGCCAACCTCTTTTAGTCTCTTTTAGTATGATGGAGTTTCCATTCCCTGACCCACATCATAGCCTTTTTTCTGTCTCTGTTTAGGGAAATTAATTTCTGCAAATATGAGTAGTCAGACCTATATACGCTATTTTACAGGAGGTCTTACCAATGTCTTTTTCAGCGGCACGCAATCTTCTATATGTATATTGAAAATGCCCTTTGTAACTAGAACATGCTGATGGTGCTCAGTTCATTTGCTAATCAAATAGTAACATGTTTTTCTTTTCCTTTACAATTTCAGCTGGTGATTTCAGTGTGCAACAGAAATTTGTGTTCCTACTTTCTAGGCATATGACCTTGTAATTTGAATTGTTTCACTTGTTACTCTAGCTTGCAAGATTATTTCTTTAATACTCTGAAATTTCTGCCTATTGATGATATTGCTTTCATTAATGCAATGCTGGGAGGGGGTTTGTGTTGAAGCTATTAGAGAGGATTCTTAAGTACAGCTTGTCCAAAGTTGAGTCCTTGAGACTTCAGCTTAGTGGCCTCCTCAGCGCAAACCACTTTTCTTCATAACCAGTTTATAAGAAAATTGCAAGATCAGGTATTTAAGAGGAAGAGCACTCTTTGTAGGGCATTGAGTAGATAAGATCCCCAAGGAGCATGGAAGAATTAGCAAAGACTTATTAAAAGATGTGTGAGAGCAATGCACTGATCAGGGCATTTACTGGAGGAAAAAAACCCCTAAATAAATAACGACATAGCAATGGATTTGGCCTGAAATAGAGGTGAAGTAATCCTGATCAGCTGCAGTATCGCAGGCAGGAGAAGTGATTATCATTCAGCAACTTTTAAGTCTGGTACCCCAAGAAATGACAGTAAAGTCTCCAACAGCTGTCAGAAGGGGACTCAACAGCCCTGCAGAAGTCATGGTAACTCCCTCATAATCTGTGGTGAATTCTTAATATTCTGTGAAGGGAAGAAAGTAGTTTCCTATAGTATGTAGTTCAAAAATGTTGGATAGATTTGGGGAACTACTTCCCTTCCTTTTTAAGGTATTTTGTATGTTAATAACCATACAAAGTTAGTGGTAGTTACATTACACTTTTCTGTATTACTATTACTGTCAAAATAAGCTTATTTTTACTCAAAAATGCAAATAAAATAGTATTGATCAATCAAACACATGAAAATTACTGTAGTATCAAAGTCATGTATAATACAAAGTCCTATCCAAAACAATTAAATAATTTCAACTTTCCCCTACAAGAATAGCAAAATGATTTTTTTTGGCCTAGCAAAAAGGTAGGGAGAAGAAATGAAAATTTTCATTTCAAACAGTCTCTTTAAAAGGGCATTTTTATCTTCTGTTTTATAAGACTCTTCTTTTGACAGAATAGAGTTTAGTTTTATGTCAGACTATATAGTTCACTCCAGATCGCTAGATAAATTAAAAACTTGATCTTATGCTGGTGTTCCTGACCCTTAGCCAATCTTTAATGCGTTTTAATAGTTTTCCACTATCTCACTGACTCATTCTGTAAATCAAACCTGCCTTCATGAAAACTAGATGAGTGATATTCACTCTTCCTTTTCCGGTCAGTTCATTAATAGTAGTGAAGACTCGAGCCATGGGGTTTTGGGAATACTTTTTCTCAATGTATATCTGTGTGTATTATAATAATATTTCACTATTTTCCTTCCTTATTCACCAAGGATTTGGTATTCTCCTTCATTTACATTGACAGTGCCAAATATTGAAACAATCTCATCTGTAGAGGATTAAATTAAAAAAAAAGAATAAATCCATCTTTTTGTGAAAATTTACTACTACTTGCAAAATTGTAATTTTGATTGAGGTAAGTGAATTTTGCAAGGCTAAAATAGACTTTTGGAACTGGAGAATATAGGTTTTTGGGGAGTTGTAGTCCATGAGTAGCCCTGGCTTTTTTAATTTTGTCCATTGGTGCCAAAGCTACGTTTACCGGTGTTAGTTATTTCAATGAAATAAAGCCAATAAAGCTTCTGTTCTCAAGTACCTTTTTGAAAATGCATCAGAGCCTCTTCTGTCACTGCGTCCCCACACTCCTAACTGACCTGTAAGACAACAGATAGGCCATGCTTCCTCTTCAGAAATGTCCAGAAGCCAATATTGAATCAGTAGCATAATACTTCAGTAGAAAATTGGAAACATGGTGCAAAAATTTTGGATTTTGGTAACGTCAGTTGTATTTCTATTAATGATGTCATTAGTGGCATTATCCTA